CTGAACAATTAAATAGAGAAGCAAAAGAAAGATTAGCACAACAAAAAGGTGTTCAAAAAGAAGAAAAGTGAGTTCAGTAGTAATGAGTAGTAAAATATCAAAATTAAATTAATATTTATTTTGCAAATCCTATTTACAAAATTTTGTTTTAAATGAAATTTAAGCTTCACAAATTATTCATATGGAAATTTGTTTTATAATATAGTACTCCTGTTGCAGGAAATCGTTTTCATATTACAGTCATCTTATTGTAACTTATTTTTTAATTCTCTGACATTGGCTTTGAATAAGTGTTTAACTTTCTAGACAGAGATACATTTTGACAGTAAAGTGGGTGATCGGTTAACGAACATAATCTGTTCCAAGACTTTGTTCATTATCCAAATTGTTCGTTAATCGATTATTGATTTACCATAGGTTTTTATGGGAATTTGATTGATTTGTTTTGGAGACTCCAAAAAATAAAAAAATATATATATACTTTCTGCTATGTTTATTTATATGTAATAATAAAAATACATATTTATTATAATGACTAATAAAAATAAATTTTTATTAGTCATTATAATAAATAACATAATAAACCCCTACAAATGGAAAAAACATGACTAATAAAAATGCAAGACTGTGTATATTTGTATTTTTATTATTACATATAAATAAACGTAGTAAGAAAGTATATATATTTTTTATTTTTTGGNATTACACGTATCTTCGTGTTAATTTTTTCCATCCTGGTTCTGCACTTGGCAGGAATGAAGGGAATGTGTTTCCTAATCCAGATGCAACATTTCTCAAAGAAATGTAATATATTAGTTTTAAATTAATTTTATCTTACAGAAAATTTACTGTTTAAAAAAAATCAAATAAAAGTTAATGTTTAAATATTGTGTGCAGAACCTATCGTAGTACAAATGTGAAAGAACCAGGCGAAATCTCTGCACCTTCTTCAAATTTGAACACTGCGTTCAGATTAATCAAAGAAGTTCAGAAAAAGTTTAAGACAAGAGAAGCTGAAGAAAGGGAAAAAGAGGTATACTTTATTACAAAATAATTGTGTTCATAAGGCTTTATTACAAAGATAAGTTAATTTATGTAGCAAGTTGTGTCTGTCTGTCTGTCTGTGTGTGTATTAAGCATTTTTACTATACTCATTTTTTTCTGCTTAGACTAGTGGTTGATTTTTTTTCTATTCCAATAACAACAGTTTACAGAAATTTTTATTTTTTAATTGCATAAATTATTTAATGTACATGAGAAGAAGTTAAATAGGAATACAGTCGACTTCCCTATAACATGGTAGATATGTTACATTCTTTATGAATTGATTTCTTACGAGTCCTTGCCAATCACAGCTCGACACGTGTGAAGTTTATGGACTACAGCTGTTTGAAAGGTTTTCTTCCATAAAATTAATCAATTCTAGACTAATTCAACTTAACGTTTCCAAAATACGTATATTTTTTTGGGAATAATCCGTATAAACTATGCTATAAACAAAAAATTGTAGGATTACTTACCGAGTATGCACCGCTTGACGTCGCCATTGCTCAAGCTTGTTTTCGTTGCGGAGCAACGCACCGCAACGAAAACAAGCTTGGCCGCGATTTCTGATAAGTTATTTTTCTGCGAAAACTTCATTGAACTTTGAAGACATCCATTAATATAAATAATTTTTATGGCCGTTGAATAAGAAATGTTTCTTTCACAAGAAATGTATAAAATTACAGTACTGTATTAGACTTACGGTACCTAATTTACATACTGTACTGACGATAGTAAACAACTTACTCGCCTAAACTCTCCATAGTGTGGCACTGGACGGCAGAAAGTATATATATAATTATAATAAAGTTACAATAAATTAAGTTAATATATAATTATATATACAGTACCTAATTTATATATAATACTGTACAGACGATAGTAAACTCAATTTACACGCCTAAATTCTCCGTAGCGTGGCGCTGGATGGCGGAAAGTAGTTCAGCTGCTCGATGATGTTTTATCGAATTATAGGAGTTTATTTACCAGGTTTGTACGGATACCGTTGCAATTTTTTCACCGTCTGATAGGAATTGTAATTATAGGAACCCATGTTATAGAGGGGTGTACTGTAGTTAAAAATAACTATTATTATTGTTGAATTATTTTACTTATGTACTTTTGATAACTATTCTCAAAACTATAATGTTACCTCATTATTATCATAAGTATTATTAAATTATTGTGAAACTTCTAGTTAATATTAAAAATCATTTTATTTTTAACCTTGTAGGGGTGTGAACTACTATTGTAGTCCATGTACGTTATAACATGATAATAGTAAAACAATGTTTCAATTTATTTGTAATTTTATTAGCTATATATATAATTTAATTTTTATCACAGTAAGGCTGTTTCAAAAAAAAAAGTTTTTGTGATTACTTTAGAATAAGTGGAGGTTAATAGTTACAATGAAGCCATTACTATTTTTTGTTAAGTATTTACTTGCATTTCATTATATTTGTATTAGCTGTGGATTTTAAGCTTGGAAGCCATTTTAATGTATTCAATATATAATTAAAATTGTTGAATTTCTTAGAAATTATTAATGATTTGAAAATAATGTAGAATATCTGTACAGATAAGCATTTCATCATCAAATTGTCTGTGTTTCAATTTTTTTTTATGAAAATGTTTATTAAATGTAAGCTTTAATTAAAATCACTTTAGTTTGTAAACAAGTTATAAAAATAAATCCATCAGTTTTTAAAGTACTTGAAATATAGTTAATAATTTTTTTTTCAGACAAGAAATATGAAACAGTTATTTTACCAATATTTGGTATTCCTGTACCATTTCATATATCAACAATAAAAGTAAGTTTTAATTAAATAGTGTTAAAAAATATTGAAATTCAAAATTTGTNTGTACTTTTAAATATTTGCTATTTTTGTAAAAGTTCAAATAAAAACTTGGGACCATCACTAGCTGTCTTTTTATAAACTACAAATAATTTTTAAAAAATTTTCTTCTTTTTTTTAAAATTATTTGTAGTTTGCTACATACATAGTCCAGCTACCTAAATGCATAACTTTTTAATTTTTTTCATCTCTAATTATATGGCTATACTTATAATAACTGAGATGTATTTTAACATTTGGTGCTTAGAAGAATGCTTTTTATTTGTTCATAGAAAAAGTACATCTAGTTGGTCAATAATATTGCAAGGAAAAATGAGTCATTGTTATGTCTTTCATTAAAACTTTGTGATGTTGGCAGGGAAGTATCCTATACAGGGGATTTCCCACCTGATCTGTGCTCAATCAAAACTGTCATTTATAGAAACAAAAGCTAAAAATAATAGATTTTATGATTCTTTTAAAAATTCTAGATATAATAATATTTGAGTAGTTTTGTTTTTATTTTTCATTGCTATTACATTATTGCTCCTTTTAAAAAGTAAATGCATATAATGTAGAACAATTGCTTTTTAAGTGGTCAAGAACAAATTTTACAGCTAATCACAGAAAAAAATGCATGCAAATTGCCTACTATAGTAATCCATGCGTTAGACTTTGTGATACAATGCAATATTCCTGCTGCAAGGTTGAAAGATTTTTAATTTATTCTTGCAATCAAAAATATATTGTGTTACAGATTTTAAAATATGTACATGCTATTTGAATAAATATTGTTTTATCATATTGATATTTTTTTAATTGTTACTTATTTTCTATGAATTGTTTAAAATACTTAAACAGAATTTCTTCAATTTAGGGAATTGTGAAACAAGATACCTTAATGTTAAGTACAAATAAAGCCAATCCTAAGTTGAAAGATCTTTACATTCGACCAAATATATACTCTAAGAGAATTTCTGGAACTTTAGAAGCTCATATGAATGGTAATGTATCTTTTATATAATTGATAACTTATAAATTATTATAGCTTAAAAAGAGAGAGAAATAAATTTTTAAATAATTTGCATGAAAATCATTACAATAAACAGATTATTTTATAATATAAAATTATTATTGTTTTAAATTTTGGTACTGTCATATTTTTGCCAATTTTTATCATGTTTGTGCACATGAAATAGTCTTTGCAGAATAACATGTTTCCAAATTTCAATTTTTTAAGTATATTGTTTTATTTTCAGTTAAACTTTAAATGTTTTAAAAGTTATACTAATTATGTCAAATTTTGAATTTAAATCATCTCATTTACTTGATAAAAATTTCTTAGTTTAATTATGTTAATACTCAGTAACAGTAAGGGGGAAAAATTGATTTTATATTTATGAAGTAAATGTAATTTAGATATTATTCTTATTAATATCTGTAATTAACTAAAATATTACAGATATTAATAACTCACTTGTTTGAAACACACTTTATTAGTTTAAATAGACATAATTTAATTCTTTTTAATTGCCTTTGTGAGATCACATGCAAGGGTTTGAACCCTCTAGTCATCGAGTCATTAAGACACATTCACTTTGTCACTGGATGGCTTTTTATAGAACATCCTCAGGATCTTTTTATCCTTCAGACATCAGGACTGACACCAGCTAGGGAAAGATTTTGCGTCCTGACTCATGATGTTACATGCTATATTTAAATGGAGGGCTATATTCTATTGAGCAGGAGGAGGCGTGAATAAGTTCCGATCATAGTGGGGTGGATTCCGTACTTAACTAACAGGGAATCAACAGTTAAACAATAACAACAAAGGATTTAATGAATAAATAAAACAAAGGTACATAAATCAAGATACTTAATATATAACCTATCATAACCTCTAAATCTAAAATACCCCTCTAAATAAAACCGGGAGAAAGAGTTTACAATCGATAAAAATAATGATAATACCTTAGTAGATTAATCTTGGAGAATACAAAATTCTTCTGGCAGCTTCCTCCTGGTCTTGGACTCACTCAATATGGTGTGTTTCTAATTCTATTGATTGCCATAAATTATGTGGCAAATCTGTTCTTCTGCCTGTTGTTTATGGCATGTTCGAATTAATTGGGAACTGCCTCGAACTTGTGAATTTTTTCCCTATTTATTCTCAGTTTTTACCACTCAGATTGTAGGATTCTGATTGTCTGACTAGACACACATCTAATGCAAGAGACAGATTGTCGTCCGATAAATTAGATAAGAACTTTCTAAGAGAAGTTCTGCTTCCCTTTCGACGATTTTTGGTCTATTTTATAGATGAAATATTACATAAAGATTATTTATCAAGTGGGAAAATCTAAGAATGTGCTGAATAAAATGAATGAATTGTTCTCTGCTCTTGCATTCTCACACCTTTGTTTTTGATTGATAAAATGATTTCAGTATCACCCATTAAACATTTAGTTTTATTTTGTAAGTTTAATAATATATATTTTTCTCTAATTTTATTGTACAAAAATTATATATTTTAAATAAAATAATAAATTATTTAATACCTTATTAGCATTAGTAATATATAACTATGAGCCCACTAGCCTTATTGTTATGATTACAGATTCTTCTTATACTTTTCCAATTTTTATTCATTAAAAAAATGATGTCCTGGAATGTATTTCAGCTTATTCAACAGCCCTCTTTAGTCAGGTTACATATATACATTTTGACAACATGGTATGATTGAAAGGGCTGTGATGAACCTGAAATTATAACAATAAGGCCAGCAGGCTCATAGTTATTTATTACTAATTAATAGATAATAACAGATCAGAAGCTTATATTGAACTTATTAACATATTGCGTTTTCTCAACCTTTACATTAATGGTCTCTTTTTTAAACATATGTTAATTTGAATATTCAAATGAAGTATTGGGTTGTTTGTATATATTATTTGCATTTGTTACCATTACTATTTCAAGGACTTTTGCTAATTTTA